GTTACCTCTTTTTGGGTAAAGCTATTGAATTTTCATAATTTCAAACTAATTTTAGGTGCTGCACCTACTTTAAAAGTCAGATTTAGAAGAGGAAAAATTTGTTATTTCAAAGTGGAGCAGTGACAATAGCTCTCTTTTCAAATCTCAGTGGAAAACATACTTAGGATCTGTCTTGAAGAAAAACATCATTAAATCTTAAACCTACACTTGAAAGATAATAACTCGTAACATCTCAATGAACCCTCCACAGCTGGAATAACAAGTTACGAAATACAACCACCATCATGGCTGAGAAAGGATGTGAGAGCTGGTTCTGAATTTCAATCACCAACTCACAGAACTCAATGGAGTCTCCTCCCCTCCAAAGCCAGAGCCCAGGTCATCAGCAGAACTCCCAAACTAATCTGAGATGAGATTCCTGCAGGATTAAAAAGGAACTTTTCCGCAAAGGTCTGATGGATCAAAGTGATAGTGTCTCGAGCAATTTTCTTTCAATTATAATTTGAAGAGTTAAGCTTATATTTAAGCAACACCAGCTTAAGTAAAAAGTTAAAGGAAAACTTAAGCACTACTTCCAAACGGTCTTCAAAACAAGAAACAAAACAGAACAAAAGCTCAAAAACTTTTGGCATGAAGTATCTCCTTTCATGCAACCACTTGGAAGAAATGAGAGAAAAACAGTTCTATGATTCTAAAACTTCAATCGCTTGGAACCCATTTAACCAGACTTTTCAATCATTTGAATCATTTTTTGTCTTTTGCTTATTTTTGTACAAGTGCTACTTCTGCAATCTGAAATACAATTTAACTCTTCTAGAACCAAAGTTATCTGTAACAGCCTCAATAATTTAGCACAAAATTTTAAGTGTGGTGCTGTGAAGAATAGGATGGTAAGGAAAATTGTCTAAAACACAGGCTTTAATGTCTTAAATTAAGAGATGCGAGAAAGTCTAATTATATGATTAAAAAAAAAGAAAAATTCAGGGGCTAGCACCATGGCCAAGTGGTTAAGTTCATGCACTCTGCTTCGGCAGCCTAGGGTTTCACCAGTTCGGATCCTGGGTGCGGACAAGGCACCACTCATCAGGCCATGCTGAGGTAGCATCCCACAGAGCACAACCAGAAGGACATACAACTAGAACATACAACCATGTACTGGGGAGCTTTGGGGAGAAGAATAAAAAAAAAGAGAAGATTGGCAACAGATGTTAGCTCAGGTGCCAATCTTTAAAAAAAAAATCTATAAAAAAAAAGAAAAATTCATTGTGCATATATATCCCTGGCATATACAACTGGCTAAGCACACCATACATGTCTTTATTGTATTCCAGGATTGCAGAGTAATTACAAACCCTGTGAAAAATAGATTAGATGACCTTACCTTCAGCTCTCTAGTGCTTTTGAGTGGAACTTTATTGCAAAAGTCTACAGGAGGGGTAGAACAGACATGGCCCATTTACCAAGAAACCTCTGACTGTACACAAAGTCATGCAGTAAGATTCTGTAAGCAGTCGACCATCCCGCAGGAGCAGGGGTATGCAAGACTCTTCTTCACCATGTTTTCCTCAATTTGGTTTTTATGCTCCAGGCCGTGGGAAGCAGGCTGGGGCCTTGTCTCTACCCCTGGCTCTGGCCCATTCCAACCCTGCTGGGAGATGGGAGCCTGAGGCTGGTCTGCAGAAGCTACTGCTGGGGTCAAAAGCTATGCTAAAAGCTGGTTTTGACTCTTGGTCTCTGAAAAATGTGAGGCATTTTCAAGAATGTGGAGGGGAAAACATTTTAGAAGAGTTCTAACTCAACTATGGATGTGACTTAAGTAACCATGAGGTGGAGGGTAAGAACCATAAAGGAGGCCAAATGTGGTAAGGGTTTCACAAAAGAAGGCCCAGATGCTGGAGACAGTCCTACTTCATTTTTACTTTAAGAAGGCATTAGGGGGCAGGGGAAGGCATGTTGATTGTAGAAATGAATGGAATGTTCAGTGGTCTCAGTGAGCAATTTCTTATTTCAGTTGTTAGGCTAATGTTTGTTTATTATGGTAAATTTCTATTTCAAAGTTTAATAAAAGTTCATTTTTTAAACTTTTAATTGAGATTAGATAGCTTACAACCTTGTGCAACTTTCAGTTGTACATTATTGTCTGGCAGTCGTGTTGTAGGTGCACCACTTCACCCTATGTGCCCACCCTCCACCTCCTCTTTCCCCTGGTAGCCACTAATCTGTTCTCTTTGTCTACACGTTTAACTTCCACATATGAGTGGAGTCATACAGAGATTGTTTTTCTCTATCTGGCTTATTTCACTTAACATAATACCCTCAAGGTTCATCCATGTTGTTGTGAATGGGACGATTTTATCCTTTATAAAAGTTCATTTTTGAAAATTCTGTCTTTATTAGGAAGGCAGTGAGACTGTGAGGAAGTCATCATAATCAGGATGCTTGGTTTGGCAAACATGCTGTGTGTTTTGATTATTGTTAATTTTTATTTATTTGCATGGGGTGGCACAAGTGAAGATGAGCAGAGTGGTATGGGATGAAAAATTTAAAGAAGCATATCTGACATGCCATATCACTGGCAGTGGCTTTTAAAGGTCAATGTTGACTTTTTTTTTTTAGCACTTTTTAAATTCTAAATCTATTATGATTCTTTGCAGATGGGAATAATATTGTAATGAAAGAAACCAGTTGTCTTTCTCCAGAGCTACAACCATAGGTGGACGAAGGGAGAACTTTCCATACCTTTAAGACAGACGCTATCACAAAAATAGATTCACAGTCTAGGTGTACTTCAACTCCAGAATTCAGTTTCTCTTTCAGCTCTCTGCAGGATTTCACATTGGCTGATTGTCTGAAGATGCCTTTTGTGAGGGGTCCTTTCTGATTGAGAAAGCAAAGCATATCCTATGGGGAAGCAAAGAAAAAAACCAAAATGGCACTTCACACACAGAAGCAAGGAGATACATACTTGCCCTCCCGGGCTGCCAGAGGCTGGGGTGTCCTGGGGAAAAGCACTGAGGGGCTGGGGCTGGATGGACTGCCAGAAGGACTGAGGTCAGTTCATATTTTTGTATCTCTAAATCTCTTTTCTCCCATTTATTCTTGTTATAGTCAACATTTAAAACATTTTGCTTTAAACACTTGTTTTAATGAGATTGTCTTTTGTTCAAGGAACCAACAGCCACTTTAAAATCAAATTTCTCCGACTGCTTCAAGGTCTCTGTGAATTTGTCTCTCTCCTGCTTCACTACCCTTTTCCCATCTTCTCTAATATGGACTCTTTTCCCCAAATATGGAAATATTCTTGCCAAGCTCATTCTCTACTTGCTTGTCTTTCTTTTTATGCGCCTTCATACTTCATTCTACTTCCTGTATTTACGTCCTTCTTTTAAAATTAGGCTCAAAAATCATCTCCTCCAGGAAGCTTTCTCCATTCCATTCCATTCTGAGCAATCTCTTTTTTTTTTTTTTTAAAGATTTTATTTTTCATTTTTTTTTTTTCCTTTTTCTCCCCAAAGCCCCCCAGTACATAGTTGTATATTCTTTGTTGTGGGTCTTTCTAGTTGTGGTATGTGGGACGCTGCCTCAGCGTGGCTTGATGAGCAGTGCCATGTCCATGCCCAGGATTCGAACCAATGAAACACCGGGCCGCCTGCAGTGGAGTGCGCGAACTTAACCACTCGGCCACGGGGCCAGCCCCTGAGCAATCTCTTTTTGCTTTCTTTCTAGCTGTATGTCCTCTGCTTGCAGTGTAGGAAGAAAATGGGCATTGGAGACAAGCAACCCAAGGGTTTGAAACCTAGTTATGGCACAAACTTACTGTGTGACCTTTGGCAAACGCGAGGCTTTTTTTTAATTTGGAAAGTAGGGATGATGATGATGATGATGATGACAGTAACCACCCCCTAAATCTGTTGTGAAGATAAGCAATAAAGTGGCTAGACTAGTGTCTGGCACTTACAGATGCACAACAAAGCATAAAATGCCATACGTCTAATATAGGAATTAAAGGATATTGAATACTCAATAAATGTTGCTTAACAGTGATCATTTAATATATCAATTGGAGACAATACAAACTCAATGGCTTTCATCTGACCCATTCTATAATACGAAAGATAACTAAATGCCAGAGGATGTATATTTATGCTTAAACACTTGAAATACAAATAAAACACACGTAAGATCTTTAAAAAGCATAAGATTGAGGAGTCTCTGCTGTTAAAGTGACTAAAGGACACTTTCAGACAATGCAGAGTTCAAGAAAGAGTGCGAGAAAAATGTGGGGGACAGTGTGGATTCTAATGTGCATTCTCTATTGAGCAAGCTTCTGTAGCTCTGTCTTAAAACCAGTAGACTAGATGATTTCTTTCTATTCATCTTCCATGTGATTCTGCAATAGCTTAATCAGATTTATTCTTTGAAGCAGAAATAACAAAGATTCGGTGCTGACCCGGTGGCACAGTGGTTAAGTTTGCTCACTCTGCTTTGGTGGTCCAGGGTTCCTGGGTTCAGATCCCGGGTGCAGACCTACACACCACTCATCAAGCCATGCTGTGGTGGTGTCCCATATACAAAATAGAGGAAGACTGGCACAGATGATAGCTCAGGGACAATCTTCCTCAAACAAAAAGACGAAGATTGGCAATGGATGTTAGCTCAGGGCCAATCTTCCTCACAAGAAAAAAAAAACAATAAAGATTCTCAGCCAAAGCCATGGGTGTCTGTAATTTTTCCATTTTGGGATACATTTACCTCCTAGAGTGCTCTTTTCCTGTTAGTATTATAGGTCAAAAAGAGACTTACCAAGACAGGTTTGGGCAGGTTGTCGTTCTCACAAATATGTGGCAGAGAAACTCCAAAGAGCTGTCCTGACATAGGAGATGTTGGTGACACGGGCAAGTTATCCAGGTGAATGCTAGAACCCCGCCAAAAGGCCCAGTTTATGATAGATCTTCTCCTTTTAAATGTCTTCTGACCTGAATCTAAGGAAAGAGGGAGATTATTAGAAAAACTAGTTTAATTCACTTAACCTTATTTCTACAGTTTCCATTTTGTAGTATGTCCATTACTATGGCTTAAAGAGAAAAATGCTCACAGATGCCCTTGTTACTGATAAGGTCATTGTCCATGTATTTCAGGGACATCACTTGTCTGTTTACTTGAGTTTGGCATTGAATTTTCAAAGGTGAGGAAAGCCTCCCTTCCTGGACTGCAACAACTTAAAGCAAAAAGTGTTTCATACCAACACATGTATTGTCCCAATTTAAAGATGAGACTAGGCGTACAAAACAGCTGACGATTAAGTCAGAGCACAATTACATAGTGAGAAAAAGAAAGGAAGAAGAAGGAGAAGAGGGAAGGAGAGGGAGAAGGGAAAGAGAGAAGGAAGAAGAGGAGGAAGAAAAAGAAGGGGAGGAGGAGGAAGAGGAGGAGGAGGCAGAGGAGTTGTCTTTATTAAGATTTTCTCTAGAAAGGAAGAATGCTTTATCACCTGCTGTCCCGTTCTACTCCTGAGAACAGAGACAGGAAGCTAATATTGTACATTTTCTCCTTTCTTTCCAACTGCAAAGATTTTTATGTATCTTTTTAGTTCCTGATTTTAAAAAGCACGTTTAAGGCAGCATGGATGGATGCAAACACGAGTGAGACCTGCCCCTGCCATGGTGAAGTTTATAAATCTAACGGGGAACGAGACCAGTGGCGATGGGGAAAAAAGCAAGTATGTTAATAAATAACACGTCATAAGGGAGGAACAAAGTGCCAAAGGCCTTGAGAAGAAAGAAAGCACATCCACCCAGACGGAGGGAAGGAGTGATTCTGGAGGTGCCTGCATTGGATTTGGATTTTGAATGAACAAGATTTCAACAGGAAGAGCATCTAGCATCGTGCCTCGCACCTAGTAAGTACTCAACAAATCATTCTTGAACAAGAATTGAACTGAGGAGAGACTTAGGTAGGAAAAGAGCATGAACAAAATAGGAAGAAGTAAGAAAGGTTAACAGTGGCTCATGATTTTATGATCTCATAGTGCTAAAACATTTTTGATGTGATTTGTGATCTGTGTCTCCTTTTAACATGATGGATTTGCTAATTAAAAAGACAGCTCTTTAGGGTTTTACTTTTAAAAGTGGCTGAGTAGCTCCTTTTGAACCTCTCCGCCCACACTCCCGACACACACACAAATAACAACTACAAAATCTGGACAAAAAAGCAAAAAAAGCCTATCTGAAGGCACTAAAGAGTGACCAAAAGAAAGTAAATACTGGAGGTAAAGTTTGACACTTGCACGAAAGGAATAGCATGGCACTGGGTAAATTTCCCATTCTTGCAGCTTTTAGCCTAAGGACAGGCCCAGGGTGGTAGAGTCACTAAAATTTGGAGAGAAAACTTCACTCTTACTGGCTTAAAGAAGGAGAGAATAGAGATGGAGATATCCACAGTAGCTAGAAAGTGAGTCAGGGGCAGTTCCAGAAAGAAGAAAACCAAACAGGGGGAGGCCCAAATATTGTGCATAAATTCTGCCCACATCTCTGGTTTATCCCTGAAGCATGCAGGTTCAAAACAGCTTGCAGACAAGGCTGACAGCACCAAGATGGAGGAGCCATAACCCTCAGGTGGCGCCCACACAGGGTTTGACTCTATTCCTCCAGCGAGAGCGCTTGGGAACAAGTCATTAAACTCTGGCTGTGTGGCACTGCTTCTTTTGACACCCAATCAATCTACCAGAGATGATGTTTAGCTATCCAACATCCCCTGATGATGGAATGCTGACGGAGATGGTCTTTTCAGGGCCGATATGGTCAGCAGTGTCAAAGGTTAATTTCAAAGAAGTATTTTATATTGTTTGGCTGTAATGTACCTTAGCTTTTTATTTCTTCAGAATAACCAAGTGAAACCAAATACTAAAAGAGCCACATTGTGGGAGGATAAACAAATAAGTAACATTTTAACAAATGGCCTTCAGACTGTCATCTACCCTTGGCTTCCTTACGATACGGTAAGGGCAGCATCCATATTCATACACAGGTGTAAAGGTCTTTGCCTCTGGAGTCAGGAGCCCAGTCAGACTCCTGGTCTAGACACTTACTTGGTAAATTACTTAATCTCTTGCCCCAACTTTAACATGAGAATGATGTTACCTACTCCTCACAGGCAGTGGGAGGATTAAGCAGGATAATGTGTGAGAAGTACTACTTTGCCCAGGGCATGGGTCACAGTGGTCTTGGATCTTGACTGAAACTGCCAAGACACCAATCTCCTCCCCACAAAGAGGACCTCCTCCCCACACCCACTCTCCATGTGGTGGAACAGCCTTCGGGAAGTATGCGGACAGAAAGGAATACCAGATTCTGTTTATCAAAGCAACTTCTTCCCACCCTGACATTTCCAACCTCCGCCATTTTAAAAAACAGCAAAGGAAACTAAACCCATTCTTATATCCAGGAGGGGGTTCCTGTACACCTAGCAATGTCAATCCATGCAAAAGTTTGTTTAATGTGTGTGGCTGTATATAAGTTGAGTAGCTGTATTCAGTCTAGTTTCCTCACATTTAACCTGGTTTCATTATTTCTAAAATTATCAGATTTATTTGATGTTTTAGCTTTTGCACACTTCTTAGGAAGAATGCTCTATCATAAAGTTATATACGCAGCTATCCTCTGAGTGTAGACAGAGGATAAAGTAGAACTTGAGTCCTGTACTTTATCATAAATGCTTTCAGCTGCAGCCATGCCTTTTGTCATGTACAACGTTCAAGTTTAGAGTTCATGTTCCCTCTGGGACTGAGAAAAAAAATTTCATTAAAGTTTACTTTCTTGCAGAGCTTTTAATGCATTGCTCTTTCTTTCTAAATGTCAAAGGCTGATGAAAAAGCATGCTATTGGAATAAAAAATATAAGGGTCATGTAAATGTAGAGCAAACTAAATTCATGTAAATCTAGCTCTCCTAAACAATCCTGGCAAGATTCAAGCTAGTGTTTCTTCATGGTTAAATTAGGGAACTGCATATGAAAAATTACAATTCTTAAAAGTTTGTGTTTATAGAGTGATAATCACAACAACAACAAAAACCTTGATTAGAAATTCTATTCTGGCCATATAACTCCCCAGATTAAGAATACCGTTTTTTTCCCCCAGTGTAGAAAATACACCTGGGAGAATACTGGAACGATAGAGCAAACAGGTAGAAGAAAAAGTTGTGTCCCATATTTTACCATCTACCCTAAAATGTTCAGTCCAGTTCCAGTTAGCCCTGGGTCTAAAGCAGATGTGGAAAGTGAGCCTGCTATGGTTGTAGAACTGGGAATTCGGTTCAGGCTAGAATCCCAAGAGCTACTTCAGAGTATTCCCAGAAAGATCCCACTTCAGCTCCAGAACTCTTGTGCTCCACTCAAGTTTTCCATACTTCCTAGGTGTGACTAAGCCATTCAGTCTTTCATTTAACTTCTGCTCTGTTCTAAACACTGGACCAAGCCCTGCTATGAATTCCCAGGCCTTAAGCAGCTCATAGTCTAGAGAGACATGTAACAAATCATTATAATGTAATCCTTACGTGTTACACTAGAGATATTCATGAAGTGCTCTGGAGACACAGAGAAGGGGTCGACTACCCACCTGAGGGAATAAAGATTTCCTAGAAGTGACATTTGAGTTGGCTCTTGAGGTCAGATCTTCAATGTCTATATCCTGAGCCCCCAATTAACACCAGAGCTGTCTCAATGGATACCAGTCATTGCAAGGCTGAGTCAGTGATCTAAGTCTCAGGGATGGCCTTTGAGAGATGTCTTGCTACTCTGTTTTCAGTGGAAGACTATTTACTAGATCTTCCCCACACTAAGGCAGGAATTTGAAAAAGAGATCGCGGATGACTATGTTCACCTAAGGTTATTTCAGTTAGCTGAGATATTTTCCTTAAGCTAACTAGAGAAAGCTCCCTTAGAAAAGAAGATGTGAGATTTATCTTTATTCTAGTTGTGGCTTATTTTATTCAGATGGTTTAAACATATAATATTAATTGTTCTCAGCCAATACTCTATCAGAAGTTATCTTCCTCTTTTATCCTCTTGTTAGCCTCAGAAACAAGATATGATTTTCCACATAAGAGACCGTACAAAATATCTACTTCTTAGGACTAAGCAATTTAAGTATTTATGAGTTCTGTGGATTTTTTTGAGGAAGATTGATGCTGAGCTAACATCTGTGCCAATCTTCCTCTATTTTGTATATGGGATGCCACCACAGCATGACTTGATAAGTGGTGTGTAGGTCGGTGCCCAGGATCCAAAACAGCAAATCCTGGGCTGCTGAAGCAGAGCGTGTGAACTTAACCACTATGCCACTGGGTCAGCCCCTAATGTTGGGCTTTCAACACAGTGAAATATGGATGACTTTATTATTGAATTAAACGGCAAAGTATTGTGCTAACTGTGCAATGACATAACAGCTGTGGTAAAAGAATACAATATATGTCGACATTACCAGAATGAGGACTCATCACAATATTCCCAACCCACAGGAAAGCAATGATTAGAAAGTTTCAGAATATTTAGAATGAAATATTTCAGCACTGCAGAATTTCTTCACAAAAATAAAAAATGAAAGTGAGGTTGCACCAAAATAAGTTTCTGAGTGGCTCATTTGTTGGCCACAGAAGGAAAGCCATTTACCAAGGACAAGTGGATTAGATCTTGTGTGCTTGCAGTAGACAAAGAAATGTGTACAGAGAAACTAGATTTAAGATGATTAGCCTTTTGGTGAGCATAGCTGCTTCAATAGTTGAGGACATTAGAAATAGTATGAATTGTGAACTAAAAAACAGGACAAATGATTTTGAATGACTTTCCTTGGTTCTCTATTATAGTCAACAGAAGTTACCAAGACTGCTCAGCTGTTTATTTGGGAAGTCAATGATTTGTTTGAAATGACTGAAGAATTAGCCTTGAATAGTCTACGTGGAACAACTACAGGTGAGAATGTTTTCAAAGAAGTTGAGAAAGCAGTAATTTTGTACAACCTGAAGTGGAATCTGCTAAAAATGTATCTGATGGTGGTAAAAACGTGTGGAGCAGAGAAAGGTACAATCTGACGAGTTTATAAACTTTGTGAAAATGTAAAGTGTTCAATGCCTATGGCATCATTCATCAGCGGTGCTGTATGGAGAATCTTTGAATCTATCAGGTGTTACTGGATCAGCAGTGTCAACAGTGAACTTCATTCAGCCTCGTGGACTTAAGCACTGTCAGTTCTATGATTTTTTGTCAGAAACAGAAGCCAAATAGCCTGACCTGTGTTACCACACAGCAGTTCAAAGGCTCCGCAATGGTTAAGTTTACAGTGATATCTGAACTTAGGACTGAGACTGAAATTTTTATGAATGGGAAGAATTGCCCTCAACCGCTATTACTGAATACTGAATGACTTTGGATATTAGGGATGGCTGCAGATTTGATGATGTTTCTTAACGAATTTAACTTAAATGACAAGGAATAACACTGCTTATATACAAAACTTTTGAAAGTTTCATTTTGAAAACAACAGACATTTAATCACTAGTAATGTCAAGCTGCTTTATGCACTTCTCGTGCTGTCAAAAGCTACAAGAAGTAAGATTTCCATCCCTATACAACTTGATAGCAGATATATTTTCCGAGTTCAAACTACAGTTCCAGCAGTATTTTACCGACCACCACGCAAGTGGTGAAGGAAGTTTCCACATCTCAAAGTCCATTTAACTGTGCAATTGAGGAGCTTCCAGCTAACCTTCAATTGGAAACGATTAATCTGCAATAAAATGACACGCTAAAAGGAAAATATCAAGAGAAGAATCTAATAATATTCCACAAATGCTTTCAAAGAGAGGGATATATGCAATTAAAATTATATGCTTGTAGAATGATAGTATTTGGCAGTATCTATCTGTGTGAAAACATATTTTCAAACGTAAAGTATATAAAGTAAATAAATATATAAAGTATATAAAATCTCACTATAGATCAGAAGATTTTGCAATCAGTTTTGATGATTGGAACACTAACTTTGAATCCCAATTAAGTGAAATGTTATCCCCGCGAAAGAACTCAATTCTTTCAACTAGTAGATCTGCATTAGATAAAATTGCAGTCAATTATTATTATATATTGAAAGTCACCAATAAAAAAATTCACGGAAATTTTTCTCTTTTTTTTATATAAGTACCTACAGAATAGCCTTGATTTTGTCTCTTAGCCTGCAAATTTTACTATCTGACTCTTTATGGAAAAAGTTTGCTGATCCTTGATGTAAATCAGTGGTTTCCAAAGCACCTGTTCATCAAAATCTTTTGTATTAAAAAAAACACAGAACTGGTGCACTTGTAATCTTTTTAGTTGCACAGCTGATTCTGATGCCCAGCCAGGGTAGCACCATCGGTCTATAGTTACTCCACCCCTGATCCCATTTACCGTGAACCATCTGCAGCTGCAACCACTATTATCCTATCTTCCAATAGGGAGAAACAGAGGATTAATAAGCAGAGATGCCTACAATTTAATTAACCAAGTCACTGGCAAAATTGAATAAAATCTTCAGGATTCTTGAGCCTGATAATTGGTCAAATTAATTAAAATAAAACTGACAAGGGACCCAGAGAAATAGTTTTGAGTAACATGGGTATGAAGGTAAAAAAGTAAAGTATTATTCTCCTCAGCTTTATAAAGGCAACATTCCCTTTGTATCTTTAATGAGAAGTAACAACGGACCTATTAATAAATTCATTCATTCAAAAATATTTATTGAGTACTTATTTATATATGTCTGGCACTGTTCCAGGTGCTGGAATATAGCAGTGAACAAAACAGACCAAAATCTCTGCCTTCATGGAGCTTGCATTTCATGGATGGAAAACCATGACATCTCTATAACACCCCTTAAAATGGCCCAAAGACGTGAGTGAATAGCCTTAGAGTCTCGAAACTCAATTGACCATTATAGGCGAGAAGAAGACCGGTACAAATGTAAGGTAGGTTTTCACAGCGGGTGTTGGCAAGGTGAGGGAGTCCCTGGCTGATGACTTCAATAAAGTATAAAGTTTGGGCTAGGTCATCAACAGAAAGCGACAGAGTTGGATGTGCATGGGTGTGGGATGCATAAAAACTGTTCACTGGGTTCACTGGGTTCCCTGGTTGGTTCAAATTGACAAAGGCAGCTACAGACATTCAGCATCAATTTTTTACTATCCCATTCACACTTTTGGTATCCATTTTCTTCTATTTCTTATACAATCTTACTTTCAGACTGATGGCTTATAGCTCAAACTTGGGTTAGGGTAAATTATGGTCATCCTATGTTAAATATCACTTTTATCATTTTAGAGCTTTTATTATGGGATGAGTAAGAGATGGCTACGTGCAGAGGGAATTCAGACAGATTAACGGACTAAGGAGAGATTTGTATAGAAATCATCTTAGCCTTCACATACTTATCAGTACCAGAATCCAGGTAGGACATCACAGTCTCCTGACACCCATCACTGACAACCTCCTTTTTATAATGTGACCATTTAGGGGGAACACACAGTGCAATGTATTACTGTACAAAGAAGGCATTGAAGCACCTGCAGCATTGCTTGATGCCTTTGACTCTGCACTGGGCATAAGGTTAAAGGGGAAAGAATAGTGAAGAAAGAAGGCACAGACTACTCCTACCAGCTGCTGATTATAGTCAGGCATGCCCATTGCTGATTCATAAAACCATCTTCTAAAACTCCATCTTTCCTCTCAAAACACTTAGCAAATTCAAAAGAAAAAAAAATACCTCATCTGGTTGGAAGGTTGAATCTTTGCTTCTGTACTAACTTTGTTTTCAGGAATGAAAACTTTTGCTAAAAAGAGGCTCTGTGAAGGAGAAGCAACTCACCACTCAGTTGCTGGGCCGCAGCCAGGCGGCTGGGCTTCAGGATGAACTGGCACTGCATTGCTCGGGGCAGCTGTTCCATGAGGAAGGGCTCTTGCAAGTTGGAAGGGGCGGTGGAGTCCTTTGATCCCTGTGTCAGGAGCGCAGTGTCTCGAAGATGGCTCATTTTAATTCCATAGGGATATTCATGCCCTACACAGAGAAGAATCCAAATGTAGACTTTAGGCTGACTGGTCCTCTGAGTATGTGTGCTACATGCTGGAATGTACTGCAGTGTGCTCCTGGGAGTTTTGGTATAAAGAATCCTTTTGCTGACTGAATGATCACCACACACCCTCTCACAGTTGAAAACTACTGCATAATGCAGGTGGTCCTACGAAAGTAGTTTTAAGTGGAGGGGGGCGGGGAAGCAAAGAGAAAAAAAAATCTTTAAAGAATCTCTTTTTTGGAACGCACAGATTAGTTTGTGAGTTGCATAATGTTGACTCTTCTTATGTTCACATCTAAGAATATTTAAAGGTATTCTAGTTCCTCCTTTGACACTGTATCTGTAAATCTTCAGCAAATCCTTGAGTGCGCTCAGCCTTAAATCCATGATTTAAAATATTTATCCTACATATCACACAATATTATAAGGATCAAATAAGAAAACCTTAGTAGTTAATATTATTTGTTATTTAAGTAATAAGGGCAAAGAAGCATATGTTTCAAGCATCACTATTATTATTATTTAACATAAGATGTCTGTTTGGAAAAGACATTTCATTACTTCTTCTTTTTTTTTTTTTTCCTGGGGAAGATTCACCCTGAGCTAACATCTATTGCCAATCTTTCTCTCCTTTTTTTTGTACGTGGGCCACCACCACAGCAGGGCCACTGACAGACAAATGGCATAGGTCCACGCCAGGAACCAAACCAGGACTGCTTAAGTGGAGCGCACTGAACTTAACCACTACACCACCAGGGCTGGCCCATCATTACTTTTTGTTAGTTATATGCTTAGAGTTACTCAAGAGCATCAGGACTGGTTTGTTTGACTTATGCTTCCCTTCCACTGCCGCTCTCTGAGGTTGGTGTCTTTAGGTAATAATCAGAAACAAGATTAAAAAAGGAACTTGCAAACTAGGAAAACTAAACCCTGGATATCTGACTGCAATACAGTGTTTTGCTCTTTAGTACTCTAAGTAATTACATTTTCTTAATTTAATCCTCAAGTTCCATTGTGTTGTAGGTTTATCTGTTTTTTAAGTACACAGTAAGTTCTCTTCTATTCCTGATTTATCACTGAATGTAACTCAGTGAATTCTTCCTTTTCCTTTCCAACTGGCATAGGTGTACAATGTCAATGTTTCATTAATATCAAGTACTATAGCCGCTTCCAGGGACTAAAGCGAAAAAAAAAAAAAAGACTCCTATGACAGCAATAAAACAAAGTCAGTTTATCAAAATAGACAGCAGCTAATCTATAACTGAAGTTTGCAAGGCAAATTAAAATATGCAATGGAGAATTGCTGCTAAATAGCAATCATGTCCCATGTCTCGTGGTTTTTTAGTGAGAGTTAGCAATGAAGCTCGAAGCTGTTCTAAGCCTGAAAGCTACCATCTATATAGTTTTAATTAAATTAATACATTTTGTTCAAATAATTTTTAATTATTTATTTGATTTTTAATCACAACCTTAATTGTTGCTCACTGACTTTTACAAAAATGACAATATTAAAAAAGAAACTGGAAATGCAGTGAATTTTGTCCTCAGCTATTTGCATGATGGCTTGCTTTATTTTAAGTCTGAGAACATACATTTCATAGAAAAGTTTGGTTTTAGATTATTCCAATCAATTGAAATATCCTGAATTACACAGTAGTGATCCACTGTGTAATGAAAGGATTACATAAGATAAAGCATATATGGTATGCTTTGCACAACATCTGGCAGACAGCAAGCATTTAAAAATTATTAGCAGAAATCATCATCGTCATCACCCTCATTACTGTCATCATCTCAAGGTCTGCTACAGATACTGTCCCTTATTTTAACTGCTCTAGTTCTGTTTACCACAGTGAATGACCTTACTGATCAAGAAATATTTTTTAGCTAAATGATTTAAGTAAGGTGAGATGTAACCTATTTACCAATAACTCCTCGAAACAAATGCTGAAAAATTCGGCTACAGAAATAGCAAAGTAGTTAGTGAAGCAGCAGCTAGTTGGTGAGTCAGTGAAAATTTTTAGGGATCTAAATGGGTTAATCTCATGTTCTTTCTGATGCCTGCGGAAGTTCTGGGTGCAGGGCAGGTGTTAAGTTCTTGCTGAGAGATTAAGGGGCATGATTGGATTAGAGAGGGTCTTCCATAGAGGCAATGTAGTAGGCAGGAAAGGGAACAGAAAATTCAAGAACTGAATATGAAAAATAAATACACAGGAGAAAAGGAATACCAATATATATTGCTTTCTTTCAGAAAAAAATTTAAAAAAGGTTTAGCAAGATAGCTCTGTTTGTAAAGTGAAAAAACAGAGGAAAATTTACATTTCTCTTCCCAAGTATATGATTAGCTCCTTGAGTGAAGAGATATTATTTGTCTAGCACAAAGAAATGCTTGATAGACATTTACTAAAGAAATAAATAAACATTATATGAGATTTAATATTTAACAGTATTTACATCTAGGACCATATGACCAATTCTCTGAGACATTTAGAATTATAATTCAAACACAATCAACCCTATCTTAGATTTTTGCAGAAACTTACCAATAAGTGGGTATGGTGCCTCTTCTTTGCCAGAATTGACCCACAATTGGTAATCTCTCTCAGAGCCCTTGGAGATAAAAGAATTAACAATAATTCTTTCATGTTTGTTAACTGAATGAGGACACATTTTTTGGGCCTTATTATGTTTTGCAGAAAGTAAAAAAAGGGACATATAAATGCTATTCAGGTTCATGGGGGTGGATATGGTTCCTGAAGATGGCAGAGCTGATTCCTACAACCCATCTCCCCCTCTCTAACCCCCACAGAAGACTCAGGAATCCTGCCCTTCTTTCCTCGTGATGACTAGGGATCTATGAACTGCAATGGAATCAGGCCCTCACTATATGGGTAGCCCACAGAATGTGAAATCATATACATGGCCTTTACAAAGGGAAAAGAGACTTCCTGGTTTTCTAAAAGGCAAATCTCTTCTTTTTTTAAAGATTGGCACCTGAACTAACATCTGTTGCCAATCTTTTTTTTTTTCTTCTTTTCCCCAAGCCCCCCAGTACATAGGTGTATATTCTAGTTGTAGGTCCTTCTGGCTCTGCTATGTGGGATGCTGCCTCAGCATGGCCTGATGAGCTGTGCTAAGTCCGTGCCCAAGATCCGAACTGGCGAAACCCTGGGCTGCCGAAGCAGGGTACATGAACTTAACCACTTGGCCACAGGGCTGTCCCCCCAATCTCTTCTTTAGAGTCCTGCCTTCTGCTATGTCTCCAGACTTCTCAGAGAATACTGGACTTAATCTCCAACATGCCTCTGCAAAGACAACCTTGTTATCCAGAAAGCCACAACACTACTGTGTTTGTGATGAAAAAATAAAATCTCAAAGGCTGACTATTAGCTCAGTGGAAAGAGAAGAATGACCAAGAGGCTTTGAGGAGCTAGGTAGCTGGCACAGTCTACAGTGACTTTATTTTGGGCAAGTCCAGTCCTGGGCATAGAAAGGACAAGAATTCTATTTAGAGAATATGCCCTGTCATGTAAAACAATGGAACTGCTCACTAGAAGAATTGTAACCCAGCAATACTAAAAATCCCACTTGAAAGAAATACTACTAAATTATACAGACTTTTCTGTATCCTCTAGGAGAGGAGAAAGCAAAAATGTTTTAAATTAAGCTAGAACACATTGGTAATATTTAATATTCCTGCCTTTATCTTCTGATTAAAAATCACGGCCCTGACCTTATAACGGAGGGTCCTGGCTATGGAGAATACCCGTCTTTGCCCCCTCCTCTACTCTATTTGTCATTTCCTTCCTCATACCTGAGTCAAAAAATCAGACTGCAAATAGGAAGAGAAATCTAATAAAAATCCTTTCTTTTTTCATAGTGTCTGAAAATACTGTAATAATCGCTTAGAACTGTATAATCAAATAGCCTCAATTCCTAATTACATCAAATGGAAATATTCTGGGGCTGAGGAGATTAATCACTTTATCCAAAAGAAAAGCATAAAGAAGAAAATAAGTAATGTCATTGATCAATCTCCCTTCCTTCCCCTTAAACTATTCACTCTCTTCCAAGATATAATTATATAAGCTTAGAAATCAATGCAGAGGTGCCTGCTTCACCCAGCGCATATAAATTTAATTACATATTAAATATATTATTAAATTTAATTAAAAGAAATCAGATTTTTTATCTTAAATTTTGGTTGCCCTCATAGGGCATAGGGCCTATGCACTGTGTACAAGCAAATCTAAAGACTGGCATATCTTAAACATATGTCACGTCACATCAGAGTAACACTGTGTTTTCATACTTATAGAGAATCCCACTCAAGAAATGGTGTTGTTCAAGTGCTTCCATTAGTTTCCATGCTTCTGAAAGTCACTCCCTTTAGCACAAGTACCCACTGTGTGGTGTTCATAGACTGGTAGGGAGGAGATGAGGAGAACTTTCCAATTCTCTTTCCCTTACCTCATCCTCAAACATTCCAATATTCTCTATTAATAAAATTTCAAAAACTCACGTTTGCCTCATAAAACAGAAAAAAGCAGACGCTAAAAGAAAAACAGGGGAAAATGTGGTGTGGACACTCAAGAGCTTTGAATTCATGATCTAATTCAATGCTTGTTTTCTAATTCACCAGTTGATCAGAGGTACCAGCCATCTCATCCTCTGGACCTACAGCCAGTGAATATGGTTTCTAGCTATGTGTTCTTAGTGTAAATATTCTACTATGGAGCAAATCCTTCAGAATTCATCACCCTAAGACTGACTGAATCGTGGGATAATA